GAAGACCTTGGAGAAAACGTTTATATTTCTACAAATATAACAACTTGGCATGGTATAGATTTATGAGGATGTTAAATCAGCCTGCAGAATATCCAGTACACCCGGACTTTTATGAAGTCGAAAACCCTAATGGAACATATGAAAATGTTTTCGACTCAGATGCTATTATAGTTCATGCTTCATTTTCTGGTGCACAAAACTCTTTTTATGCTTGGCAAATGACTTTTACGAAAAACCTACAAAGCTATATGAACCACCAAGTGGAAGTATTTCAGACTTTCAAGTATGGTTTACAACAGATGGAAGAAAGAGAATAATTCCATTATATCATGCGTTTTACTTAGAACTTAGTTTCATATACAACTACTATCGAACGGTAAAAATATAATTTTTTAATACGGTTGAGGTGTTGGATTTGGTTGCCAACTAGACTGTGGTGCAGGTTCAGGCTGTTGTATAACAGGGGCTTGCTCTTCTGGTTCAGGGTCTTAGTATAATACCAACAAACTGACCTACTCTTTTACCAATATTTTGACTCCGTTCCAAATTCCTCTTCCTACGGTTTTTATTCCATTCCATATACCTCTCCAACATTTCGAAAGAAGTTTCCAATACTACTGAAGAAACCCATTTTACTATATGTAAAAATCTAATGTCCACCTAGTCTCTTACGTTTCCTGTTGAGTTCCATAGCATTCTTTAACTGGAGCTCATACATTCTGTTTCTCCTCTGGTAGAAAACATATTCTGGGTCAACTCCTGTGTTCGCGTCATCTGCATAAAGTTGTTTATATCCCACTTCAGGGTTTGTATAAAACTCTTTCCATCTCATATTTGCATACCATGGTGGCAAACCTAACGCAGCGTCATTTGACATGGCAGTTTGCATTTGTACATCTGTTGGCACTTGACCATAGTTTGCCATTGCAGTTTGTATTCTAACTTCATTTGGAATATTCTCTGGGTTTGGTTGTCCAGGTTGCTGTGCATTCGCTAAGTTCTGTGCGTCCATTTAATATTAGATAAAAATATCTCTTACGAGTACATATACTGGACATTTGCAGGCATTGGTTCATCTTCATATTCTCTATATCTTTCTGCCACGTCAAATAAATAAATGACACAATGGAAAAAACCTAAAACAAGTAGTCCTATTTCAAACCACATTTACTTACTAGTAAAATTTCTTTGTTATGACACTTTCTCCGGTTTATAGGACCTCTCTCATATTCTATCTTGTCATATCTAAACTCATAGTCATGTATGTCCTCTAACCATCTCATAACGGTTTCCAAACCACTTTTATCGGATGTAAAGTAAAAGCATGGATGGTTATGTAAAACGTCTAAAGTTTCTAAAGAGTCTCTCAAAGTCCAGTCTACTTGGTATTGAAAATCCCATGTGTTATAGAACGGCGGGTCCACTATAAAGAAAACATTTTCCTTGTCTTTATATTTTTCATACAACTCTGTCCAATGACATCTCACAAACTCTATACCCTCAATATATTTTTCTATGTCCTCTTTGAAAACATTTGTATAGTTAAGATATAAAACTTTTGACATAAGTATTTCAATGTCATGAACTCTTATAGAACCACTATATAATAGTCTAGCAGATATACTATCCCAGTCTATATATTCTGCTTTTTTCAAAACCTCTCTCACAATATTTTTCTTATCTAATGGTATACGTTCCATCTTACCTATAGGTATCTTTTCTTTTAACTCTTTCAATATATTGTTTGTGTCTGGTATATGTTTGAGACGGTCCATATAGTTGTCGAAGTCATTGCATATAATCTTTGAGTCTGGGAATATTGTATGACATAAATGGGATATATAGAAACTTCCACCGAACAAATCTACAAATGTTAGACCATTCGGTAGTTTCTTAAGTTCTCTCAATAGAATATCTTTACATTTACTCTTATTTCCAAAGAAGGGTAACGGTGGTTTTGTAAAATTCATTTATATATAATAATAAAAATGTTTTTTTCCTGAAAAGTGACAGAAAAGTGACAAAACATGAAAACATATATAATTTGTGAAAAGCGACACATTATATAATGTTTTCGACCCAGAAGAAGGCTTCTCAAAGTATACTTCCTTGGAACGCCTGTAACTTTTCCTGTAGCGACGATAGACCCTTACTTGTCCGGACAAAGTTATACTAAACATCTTCAGGGCTAGAGGGCACGAAGTGCCTGGAGGCCCCACTACCTTTTTTTTTTTTTTTTTTTTTTTTTTTTTTTTTTTTTCCTCTTGTATTGATAATATCATGGAATATCATGTTAGCAACATCAATAATTGAAATTGAGCTGTCATTCAAATAAATTGAATGAACAAAGCATTCGAAAAACGATGCATTATCCGTCATCATGCAATCAATTCTTTCGTATAATGCTCCAATGAAAAATGTTTTCAATGAATCAATTCCAATGATATATACAGGTTTGATTTCTTCATTATTTGCGGAAGAAATTTGATGTTCCATTGCAAAAAATTCATTTCTTTCATATAATAAATCCATGATCGCTTCGACACTATCTTGAAAATCAATATAATATTTAGATTCAATATTGCCATCTCCACAACTATTATTTCGAATAATTATCTCATTATTTAAATTTTCCTCACTATTTGTTGATAGCTCTGCATTTGCAAATGCTTTAAAAATTGAAATTGACAAATCATTCCATAACTTGTAGTAATCATTTTCAATCGCCATTATGCATCCGTATATCGTACTATCTGAAAAACTGTTAATCTGTTCAAGAAAGTTAAATGGAGTGAACATTGATCTCATTGATTGACTTAAAGCCAATGTCCAAGGAATGTGTAATTGGATATCTCCGATATTAGAGATAAATTCTATTAAGCTTTGATTACATTTTGATTCATCATTTTCTAAAAAATCTTCATCCCACATCTCAGGACTAATATGTGTCAAAATAATAGAGTTAAAGCACACCGGTAATGATGCATCAATATCCATTATTCCAGAACTGGATTTTAAAATAGAAAAAGAGGGAACTTTTGTTACTATTCCTGAACTTCCTGTGCTATGAAATTTTCCATTTTCAAATATGAATTGAAATCTTCCTATTCCTAAGTGCTCATTTTTTCTTGTGGTTCCGAATTCATCAATGTTTTCTAATTCATCATTTAAACTATAATTATCATCTATTTCTATCATTGATTTAACACTTTTATTGTATATATGCACATATTGATGAACAGCTGCAATTAGTATGGAAAGTGGTTCATGGAATTCACTTATATATTTGTAGCACAAACTGATCCCTCTTTCATAGTTAACATTCGTGTATTCTATGTTACAATTCATTGCAATTTGGTATGCTTCTGATATAATGCTATTAAACGGGATACTTTTTTTGCATTTATTTGGAATAGATTTATCATCAATAAATGATTTGTCAAAATCATCTGAGCAGTATTTATAGTTCATTCTTTGAAAAATGAAGTGAACACAAATATTCTTAACTATTCAAAACTTAATATAATATTTATAAATATTAGTATAAACTTAATGAATATTTTTAAAAAAAATCTTCACCTAATATTGAATGATATTCATTTCATTATTTTTAAATGTCTCTGACATTCAATGACCATAGATTTTCTTTAATTGCAGGAAACATAATTAAATTATTATGCAGGAAAATGAGTGGAGATGACATCGATTTGTATTTTGTAATTTCCAAATATTCCAAATTTGTTTCAGTTCCATTTACAATTGATGAATCTCTCATTGGCATTAACGTCAATGATCGCAATATGAAGATATTAGAAATGATTTTTGTCAACATCTTTAACTACATTAATGATCATCATCACGAAGTAACTTTTGACACAAATTACTGTTTGAAAATTTTAGAGACTCTTTCCAAAAATGGGGATATGCTAATGGAATCAAATGACTTAATTCTTGAAAAGCATATAGAATTCTTAAGTAGACAGTTTTTCAAAAATGAATCATTTTTGCATTCTATTTTACAAATTCAAAATCAATCAATTTTCACCCTTATCAATATGGATTTATTCAACTAAATAAAGACTCTATTATTTTATTTAATGAAGCAACAATCCCATTATATTATTGGTTGTGGTATGCAGATTCAATAAATGCTGATGAAACAAAAGTTTTGAAATATTCATGCATTATCAACAAGTATAAACATTTTCAAATCAATATAATAAAAAACCAAATAGTTACTAATCTTGAAGATGATTATGTCGATTTGATAGATGAATTTTTTAGATGGATCATATCAAAATTTGATGCCAATATTTCTTGAAATGCTAATTATAACATCATTAACACGGAGTTAAGCAATTATTTTAACAATAATAACTATTTTTCTTATCTACTTCAGATGCTATCTCAGGATTTTCCTAAAAATTGTCATGCTTTGAATCTGTTTCACATTATTATGAAAAATTTACATTCACCACAATTCTTATTTTATAGATTACTTTGCCCAAAACTAATTGTATTGATTGAAAAAGAATTGTTTCCTTGCGACTTTACTACTACTTTGGAAACATTAATAAATAACCACTCCAGAGTTGTAATAACGATCTCTAATCAACATGATTCGATTAAATATGCTGCAGATCAGCTTAGACATATAATTTTTTAGAAAGAAATAAAAAGAATATTTATGACTATATTATGAGTTCATTTACAGCCGTATGACACAGCCTTAAATTCTGCAGTCTAAGGTAATTTTTAATGTTGATTCACGCCCAATGTCAGAAATTTGAACTAATTTCATATCGGTAGATGTGTACTCTTAATGTAAACATCTAAATATTAAAAAAAACTTTATAGAATCAACATGAAAAGACTAATGTTAATTTTGCCATTTAGCGAGTATATTGTTAGTAACCATACCACTTTTTTTAGAAATAAATAATAATAATATTGCTGTTTAAAAAAAATAATAAATCATTTTATTAAAATAACGTTATTATTCAAATTTTTGAAATTATAATAGAAGCATCATAATCAATAACGCCAATATTATCAAGAGTTTTTTCAATGAATTTGGAGAAATTTTCTGCAATTGAATCATCATCATTATTATCTCTGGAAAACTGAGGTAACAAATTCGAACAAAAACCGTTAATAAGTGATAAAAACGGAGACATGTTGTCAGACAAATTATCGGCATGAGCCTTAATTGATTGAAAGATTTCACATAACTTACTCATCCCAATACTAAATAACTCTAACCTTGGATCATGCATTGATTTAGTTCTCTTGATTAAAAGCTCAAAGATATTATTAAATCGAGTTTTGTATACCGCTCCTTCCACATTATTGTCATAATGTTGGAACATTGTAACATCTTCCTTGCTTAAAGATAATATTGCATTGCAGCATGATTCAAAGCATCTGAAAACATCTTCTTCTTTTTCGTAATTCATAATCACCTGATTATTTGGTCCGATTTTCATCATGAATGGATTGAACTCTTTGCACATGTAAAACATAGATGGCATGCAATTACATGGAGAAATACGAATACTGCTTGCTTCATATGCTTTGTAATATCTTGAATTTTGGCGATTTGTTATTCCTATATTTTTCAAATTAACTCCAAATCCCATTGTTACTATTAAGTCAAAAATATTCATGACATTTTTTGCATACTTCATTGATATTCTGCTATCAATGATAAATGGCAATTCTTCTTGATATGTGAATCCTTCTGGAGTTGGTCCGAATGCATCCATATTAATATTTGAAGTTAAAGACCCAACTATTAATATAAAATACAATGTTGCGACTCCTTTAAATTCGGCTATTTCGAATCCAATTTTATAACAAAAATCGGATACAGATCTATAATTTAATATATCTGGAAAGCTTAATGATAATTGCGATAATTGCTTTGTTGCAGATTCAATATCAAGAGTTTTGATGCAATCCAAAATTGATTTCCAAAGATCATTCATATTGATATCATTTATGATTGAAATAGGTGCAATCATCATCATACTCTCTGCAATTGATTTTGTAAGCTGAATCAAAGGAAATTGTTTAATTTCTTCGAATTGGCAGCTTCATACAAGTGCCATAAACATTGATGATATAATAATTGGCCAGACATTACATGAAATGTTTAATGTATCCGTCGCAATTAAATCTGGTACATTCTGAGTAATATCTCTCAAGTTCAAGCTAAACATGTTTGTTTTCCTAATTACCATCTTTGCTGGAATTGTAAGCATTTCAATTGCAGATTTTATCGATTCCAGCAAAGGAGATCCATCAATATTTTGAAGATTTTCTAATATAATTGGAGAATAATAGGAAATTGTCATATTAGAAAATGCTTTTGGAAGAAAATCAACTAAATTGAATTGATTATTATCCTTTTTAATAATTTGAGAAAAGGCATCAATTGATACTATTCTCCTTGCAATTTGAGTTGAAAGGAAGCCATTATAAACTGCAGTGTGGGAAATTATAAATTTATTTTGATTGTCTGCACAAAAATTCCTATGGTCATCATAGTAAGGTTGATTAATTGGACAACCAAGAGAAAGATAAGAATTTCTGAATCCTCTTCCAATCCATTGTTCACAATCTCTGCTTGATGGTGCATTGTAAGACTGGTTTTGTGCCAACACAAAAGCAGGTCCTACATTAGATAAATCGACACCTTCACCAAGTTTTGAAGTGCAAATAGCAATCAGTGGAAAACGTTTTACATCTCTGTTAGCAATATAATTATTCATATTGCTCTGGCTTGTCGTTTCACGTGTAACAGAAATGATTCCATTTTTGATAGACAATTCGCAAACATTCCAAATATGATCGATTTCGAAGAAAGCTTTTAATAGATCAATGGTAATCGCATAAGCAACAAAATCAACTTCATCAATACTCGTTATTAACTTAATCTTTACATAATCTTCTTTTGTAATACTGCATTTATCAATAATATGATTGATTGAATAAATTTTGTTTTGGGAAGCAATTGATGCGTATTTTGAAATAGTTTTTATTGGTTTTGAAGAAATTGCTGCAATTGTATCCAAAAAATCATCATTTGGAGGTGCTCTAATTGAGTACGCATCATAATCAAATTTATTGTATTTTCCAAGAATGAGAATTATAATCCCAATTAAAATTAACATTCCAATATGAAGTTCTTTTTTCTGAACAAAGATTAATGTAATTTTGTTGCTGATAGCAGGAGCTCGTCTAGTGAGAATACATATAATGGTTGAAATAAGGAATGTCCATGAATTCATTGATGGATTTTGCTTGAGATTCTTAATTGTTTTGGCAATATTCATATCAATCAAAAGCATTGAACACAAATGCATAATTGTATTCAGAACATGATCATTTGTATTTGATGATTTCATTGCATATGATGCTCTAATAATACCATCATTAATACACCTTTCACAAAATAAAAAGTTTGATGTAGAATGAATTTGGGTGACTGACCTAAGAGTGGAACATGGAATCGATGATAATTTTCGTGTTCCCCAAATATTATCTGGAGAAATTTTAATTACCCTCGAAATCTTCTCAGCCATAATATTTTCAATTTTTTTGATTTTATTGATCAAAATGTTTTTTGTCAATTTTGCGTTTTCGTTGTTGGAATTGTTTGACAATTCTTCGATCTTTTTTAAAATCGATTCATATTCTCCAAAGGAAAAAATAGGACGCAGTAAAGGTTCAAGCATATTTGATTGGACATCTGCCTCATAATTTTTTTCACATTGTGAAAGCATGTCTGATCCAGTTCCAGATGCAAGTATTAATTTTGTGGATGGATTCACTCTCATGATTAAAATTGCAAGCGCAATTAATGCATAAGATGTTGAAAATCTCTGATTCATTGTTTGTATTAGAGTTTTCTTTTCATCATTCATCGTTGTAACTCTAAAAATGGTATCCCATTCATCGATCACAATATATTTGATTTTCTTAATTAACTCATGTGAATTCCCTATCATTAAAGAATATGATAACGCAGAAACAACCATTTCATATGTGCCAACAATACAATCTGCAATATTCTTTCCTTGTGAGTTAAATCCATCAAATATATTGCTGATTACATTTTTCTTGAAGAGTTTCTCGTCTTCAAAAAATGATTTAATTTCATTTTCAATCTGAGAATTATCTCCTATATGGAATTTTTCCATAATCTCTTTTATAATTTGTTGGATATCATGATTTCCTATTATATTATCGTATAGCCATTTACTGTCAACGATACTTTCTTTGAATGCATTTTTCCTAAATAGGAGATTTTGATGATAATCATTTTTGGACTCTTCTTTAATACCACCGTCAAGGCGTTTTATACGTATCCATTTTTCCTTGCCATACATGATCTTACTAGCATTTGTTGCGATTTGAGCCGAAACCTGAACTAATGAAGTAGAAATAATTGTAATCCCTCTTTCTTCACCAATTTTAGAATCCAAATTTCTGAATCTTTCATGAACTGCAGGAAGAATTTCACATGCTGTTTTTCCAGAACCAGGTGGTGTTGTAAGGAAATATATTCTTGATTGATTATCAGTATCAAATTTAGAACCAAATATTGCTGAATTCGCAAATGATAATTGTGTATCATTCGGAGGTTTTTTATAGAGTATATTGGTGATAAATTTCATGGTTTCAATCGGATCATTAAAATTTATTGGAATTGATGATAATCTTGCTTTAAATGTTTCCGTTAGATATTCACAAACTTTTGAAAGCAGATCAACGGAGTATGTTGTAATTTCTTTTTGAACACCTGATGATAAACTTTTCATAATTGCATTTTCTGCCTGATCAATCTTTTTCTGGGCTCCATGCAAGATAAATAAGCCTATTTTAGAAAATTTGACTGCGTTTGTTCCATCTATATTGGATATTATTCTTGAAATGTTATCGAGATTTCTATATGCAACTATATTATCCATATTATCAAAATATAATGCAATCGCCTTGTCATTCTTTGTTGCAACTTCAAGACTGTTGAAAGTAGATACAATATCGGCAATTGGGATTCCTAAGCTTGAAATAACTCCCATATTTATTAAATCATTAATGATTGGAATTTCCTGATACATCGATGATGCTATTCGCATTGGTCTGTTATCTTTAACATCACTATCATAGAAAATTGAGTATCTAATGAGTAATGAGTTGATCATTGTTGTTTCTTCATATGTTTGATATTTGTGTACATCTCCATCTGATATTATGTATTCATTTCCGAAAACAAAAGAATGAATTAATGCATAAAATAAATTTGATTCTTTGTTAATTGCAATGTATGAGTTTGCTTTTTCTACAAAGCCACTTACAATTGATACTTTACCTTTAATTGTACAGAAAGCATGTACAATATGAGCAGGTGAAACAATGACTTTATTATGAGATATCAAATCTTTTGATACCTTTGAAAGTATGCAATCAATTGCATCATGATCTCCTATTGATCCTAGAATTCTTATTGCAACATTCACTGAATTTTTTAATTGAAATGTATTTTTAGGACTAACTGAAATCGTAATGAAATCATTTGTTACTGCTGCAATTATCCCATTTCTTGCAATGGTTATTTCTTCGCTTTCAATTAGACCTTCAACTGATTTCATTATTGGATCGCCATATTCATTTGATTCTAACCATTCAGGATTTTTCTCTTCAAGAGTATCTTTTATAAATGAGTTTGATAATTCAATCTCTGATAAATGCACTCTTGGTATTATATTTTCTTCACTCATTTAGATTGTAATAGGGCTGTACAAAATCGAGAAAAACATTGCCGTGCGGTAATATAGGGTCAAAAAAATCGCGCCTCGGCGGCTCCGCCGCCTCGGCACTATTAAGTGCGCATTATATTTAATATGTCCTTCTTTTTTCTTCTTCTTCTTTTACTTTCCTTCTTCCTCTCCTTCCTCTTCTTTCCTTCTCCTTCTCTTTTTACAACAAAGTCGAAGATCTTCGAATTTGATTGTTGGAAAAGCATCTATTTCAGATAAAGGATGCCTTTCTCACAGTCAACATACGAGGGTCCTGGCTGAAACGTTCTCAAAAAGCCTGAGATGGTAATTCTCTGATCACACATAGCTGGGCAGGTAGTCATTGCTGACAATACCTGTCTTTATGCATGCACGCTTTCATGTATATGGGTTTACACTATCAATTCGCAAAGTTGTTCCGAATTCTTCCAAAATGGAAGGACCCGAAACAACTTTGCTTGTTAACGATACAAACGCATTACTTTGCATTGATACTGTGCTGAGTTGTGTAGAAAGTTTGATTAGAGTTGTTTTGTTCTGGTATCTCTCATCTTCTGATGAGAGAAATCAAAGCAAAACAACTCTAATGAATTTGTTTTCACTCATTTGTATGTAGGTTTTTAGTTCGATTGGAGCTGCTTCATAATGAGATCTCTCATCAATTGATGAGGGAGATCATAACAAAGCAGCTCTAATGTATATGCTCGTATTAACCGGGTTGTAATGCGTTGTAACGTCAGCTTGTAGTTCGTTTGGGGCCACTTCACATTGAGATGAGAAGAAATGATTAAAGGACTCTGAAAGGCTTTGGCCGTTGATGTTGTAATCGCATTACTTGGAACTAGCTGGATGCTAAGCTGTGTAGAATGTTCGATTAGAGCTGTTTTGATATGATTTTTCTCATCATAAGATTGGAGGAATCATAGCAAAACAACTCTAATGGGTTTACCATCATCTACTTGTATGTAGATGTTTGGGAAATTGTCTTGTTAATCGATTTTCGAGATGACTTTCAAATGCTATAATCAAATGACAAACAAGTCTAAGATTTCTCGACAATACATCAAATCATGATGTTTGTAAGTGCGATGAGATTAGAGTTTTTGAAGGAATGACAAGAGAAGTAGGGAAGCTCGGCATTCGCCGAGCAAATTAAAAATTAACGTATGGATTAAATTTTAAGAGGAATTCAATTTTAATTACGGGTTGTTCAAATATTGATTAATATAAATTTATTAATAAGAATAAACAATTTTTGTTTTTGAATTTATTCAATTTATAGCTTTACATATAGTTTCAAAATTGTACAACTATGATTATTTCAACAAAAAATATCTTACTTTTTCACTTCACTTTCACCCTCACTTTTTCCGTAATTCAAATTTCAACATTATGTATTTTAATTCCTTATAGTATTTTTAACATAATTAATCAAATAATAATTGGAAGTTCTGAACTCACTTTTTCCGTAATTCAAAATCAAAAATATGAATAATATATCTATTTATTATATACTAATGCTATTTTCAACTAGAAGTGAGGTACGGTAATCTTACGGATTCCCGTAACTCAATTTTACGGAAAAAGTGCAGTAAACTACTCAATTTACGGAAAAAGTGTCGTAAACTATTGATGTGGCGGTAAAATCACGGTAATTCACGGAAAGCTATATGCGAAAATTTGAAATTATACAAAATCGAGCGAAACACTTTTAAATAAGTTGTTCTCGTATTTCAAATACTATTCCCAGATTTATTGTCGTCAGAATATTTCCAAATTTTTGCCGATTTACAAAAAATGATTTACAAAGCATATTTTTTAATCTAAAAAATTCCTAAAAAAAGGAACCGGTGTGCGGAAACCTCGGTAAATTACCGCGGTTCCCGTTGGGACTGCCATAGATTGTAACTTATTCTAAATATAATGAAGAAAAATGAAGTGACCAACAAGTTCTCAATACACTATATTCAATTATTAGATTGATTATCTGAAAAAAATAATTGAAAATAATTTTATTCATCAAAATTAGCTGAACAGTCGTAAACGACTTTCATAATTATTTTAACATCATTGAATGTTTAATTGTATATTATCAAATTCAATTATTCAATAATGGATTTTTTTGAGAAATTGATGTATATCGAAATACTCATTACTTCGTGTTTTTAGGTCTCAATTTCAATGAAAATGATTTGAACTGATTAGTATATTTTATATCTCAAATTTTTGTTTTTATAGGAAATATCAGACAACTATCAAATCAGTTTTTTAAACAAAGGTATTATAAAAAATAGATAATAAAGTTATCATTTTTTATGTTTTATAATGCATCATAAAGGTTCAAAAATTCAGTATCATTTAAGCAAATGAATATAATGAATATATCGCTTTTCGAAAACTTTCATTTCGATGATTATTAGATTATTTGAGTTATAAAGCTTGTTATTTCTAAATGATAATCATCGTAATGCAGTTTATCTGCAAATATGGGGATACCAAATTCATCTGTTTCAACATTTAGAAGTTGCATTTTTTCTACGCATTCTTTTTCATTATAAATTCCTAACTCTTCAAGTAGATTAATTAGATCGCTAAACTTAGCAAATCTTAGAGAAGAATGGAGTGAAGGTGATATCAGCTCTAGGTACATCGAAAATATGCCTAATGCGGATTTGCAGATTGAAAACGCAGTTGAAACCGCAGAATGATAGTCATTTTTATCATTTATAGCATCTGTGAATAATTGTTGGATATTTTTATAACTATCTGGATCAAGAGCATTCTCTTTGACCTCTCTTATTGCAAAGTCAAATAATTCCCTGTGTTCCATATTAAGTTCTGTCAAAATGTAAGCTATTCAATTCTATCGTCGGGGGAAGTATCACAAATCTATCAATTTTTTTGTAAAAGTATACAAAAACATATGGTGTTCAATTAGTTTATAATAATATAAATATTAAGATTATCCAAAATAAGAAAAACTAGGTTTTGAGAACACTTTTGAGATGATAATCAAAATATTTTGATTGAAAAATAATATATTATTTATCAGATATAGAATGGATTTTTTCAAATTTAAAAATTCTGAAAAATAAACAGTTTTGTAAAGTAAAAAAAATGAACGAAAACTCGAGACCTCGTATTCCAAATGAATGGGTAAGATATATGTATGAAAAACTTGAAAGTAGTGAGTAAGGATGTCAATTTGGAAGAAAAGTGAGAAAATTTTGATTGTGAACTCATCTCTAATATTTTGGCTCCTTAATATATTTGAATCATGATCTTTGAGAAGAGTTCTCAAAAGTATTCACAAAAGCTATTTTTCCTTGAAATTTAAAAATCCTGTTTATCATATATTACCGAATTCAATTCCCTACATATTTCAAAATATTCTATGAACATTTCAATTTTTGAAAAAAACATATTTTTTCCAAATATATTTATTATCATATTTCTAATAATATTTCCTAAAGCATCACTTTTTACTTCCTCGACGATTTTTTCCCTCTCAAAAAATTCAATAGCTTACATTTTGACAGAACTTAATATGAAACACCTGAAAATAGATTTGTTCTCCCTAAAACACATGTAAAAAATGAAGTCATATTTCTGCATTCAAATTTGTGAGTGTATTTATTCTATAGCTACTTAACTTCTTTCTGAGTTTAGGTTCTTCAATATGAAAAATTTTGATACTAAAGAAAACTATACACTAAATGAGATATTTATAATGAAAATAAATATATGAATTTATAAAATCTTCCAGAAATGTTATGAATTCATATACAGTATCATAAAGATAGCAAAAAATACATTGTCATTTTGAAATTATGATACAAAGGTTCTATTATTGGATTTTATCTAGTTATTGTAAGAAATCAATTTTTTAATGTTTTAATACAAAAACTCTTTCTACTAGGGAAAACAACAATAAGAAACAAGAGAAAATATCCACTAAGTTCAATCATTGAAGTTTAGAGAATCTTGAATTTTAAAAATTTTTAAAGTTCGAATGCAAATAACAATCAAATTAATATTGTGTTTATAATACTATGATTTTATCAATGAAATAAAGAAGGTTTTATAAATTGCAATCATTTCATTAGTTTGTGTACACATATAAAGCTAGATAGTACAATTCCACTATCAAAAGAGTAAGATAAAAGTGGAAATCCCCTTAATCAACTAACATTTATAAATAAAAAATTGAATTTCAAAAATGAGGATTTTTACTTATTATGGAAACCGAATTCCCATTTAAAATAGCAATAAGTATTACATGAATTTAGGGCATATAGTTATGTGTGCGCATTATCATAAATTCTTTGGGCATTAACAATATCTTTGCTTAGCTATAAGGTGGTCATTAATAGCTTTAATGCATCAAAAACTTTATTGTGTGATCAAATAATACTACTAAAAAATATTAAAAAAAAAGGAAAATTAATTAATAATACAACTTTTTATTCATATTTTTAATATCTTAAATTGCTATATGTAAATGCATTAGTGACTCACCCTTAGAAGCAACGCTTCAGATGTTTTCTATGATAACATAGATTCAGGTCAGCATAATTTATTGGATTTAGTGCCGTAATGAACTGTTCAAAAGGCGGAGGCCCGAATGGTATTAAACCCAGTTCCCCTAAACTACCTTTCTCTAATACCGAATCCTTACTATGCCCGACACAGCATCTGATATGCGATTTATTACGCCGAAATAATCCAATAAAAGACTATTATTAGGTGATGATCACATATTGCATCAATCAATCAGAAAAGTGAAGTGAAAGGTGACAGACATTTGACTCTCAATTTAAATTCAATGAAAATTTTTACTATATATCAATGATTATATTTGATGAATTTCCACTAATTCACGTATCTATCACAAGAACATATCTTTTACTAATTCAGATGTACTTTCGATGGTAAAAAAAGAACCAACCACTCCATATCAATTGATTCTATGAATATAGTTCAAGGATCATACATAATTAATAATAATATTCTTTATTTTCAAAAAGGTACTTTTGATGGGCCAAAAATTGAAAATTTTTAATTTCTCTGGTTTCTAGCTAGAATCAATATAGAGTTCATATGTAAATAGTGAAACTACTACTGTGTGGAAAAAACACCAAAGTCCCCCACTTAAACCCTATATATATATAAAGAAATAACATATTTCTAATGACTTAGAAACTAGCCAAATAATACAGTATTTCAAAAGTTCTTTTCACTTATAGAAGAATTTCTAAAGGTAGTTCCACAAAATCGTAACGATGCTTTCTTGATTTTGGCAATGTATTTAGACAATATGGATACTAGATGAGTCATAGACAAAGGATGAGAGAAAACTTCAATATAAAAATATACGAATTCACTTAGGTTCTGCAAGGTAACCAAAATACCGCATGTTGAAGATTAAAGTGAACATACAATGGAAGTGTAGATAATCTTTCAAAGTAAATGTTTATGAAATTCAGCGAAACGAATAAAGCAAATAATATAAGATAAACTTTTCTGCGTTGGGGAGCATTATTTAATTAACAAAATAGTAGGAATATTATTTCAATGGATTGATAAAAATTTTTTATCAAAAAATTTAAACGAAATTTTATGGGAGAAAACAATGATTTCAAACATATAATTAGTTTTGGTACAGATATATGCGTAACCATGGAATTTCCAGGTTCGCGACCTACATATATCACTCAAATTTCCAAAGATAGCTACTTATCTCCCACTTTACGTCAAATGTATTTATTTTCAAAAGAAAAACAACCAGAATCATTCCCATACTTATTTTCCATGGTAGAATATATCGATGAGCTAAAAATACTTATTGCAATACAAGCTGGCGCTCCGTTAATGACAATATTAAACGCAAAAAAGGGTTTTCCTCTCATTATTAAAGATTACCATATAGATTCTAGCTCAGTTAATCAAGTTCTTTACTCAAAAACATCCGAAACGCTAATTTTAATTGGGTTTTCCATGACATTTCTAAAATTCAAGGTAATGAAGAATAGGTATGCAGATAATCCAGGTATTGAAATATCGTTACAAAAGTCAATTCCTATTAGCGAAGTTACACCTCCTGGCTTTCGCGCATATTTAGACAAAGCAAATGACAGGATTGTAATACCGACGAAATTAGGCTATATTGTATACTCAATGGATGGCGAGATAATAAAAAATAACGAAAAAATGTCAAATTCAGTAGCTCACACTGCATCATTCATTTTTGCACCGAAACTCGATGAAAACTCGTCATTATCTGAACACAAGAAGAACAAAACATACTTTAAACGCTATTTAGTCACAAATGAAGGTGGCAGAGTAAGGTTATTTCATTCATCTGGCCAGATGATGACAGAATATATTACAAGAAGCAACGATTTCGTATTTAGTGAGTTTCTTAATTCTGAATTCGTCATTTTAGTTTCAACAGCCAATGATGTAATCATTCTTGATGTAAAGACAGGCAAAAACATGACAATTTATCAGTTACAAGGTAGTCCAAAGCAGATTAGACTATTTAAAGGAAAATATCCTCGTCTTTGTGTTCTTGTTTCGAATACTTATTACGTTTTGAAAATTAAAAATCCTTGGGTTCTCTTTCGCAAACTTTCATGTCCACCAATAAAAGTTCGTCGCTGCATCAGCCAAGGCCGCGCTGCAAGAATTGCCGTTCTTACATCAGATTCATTCCTTTCGATGTTTTCTCCATCTCTTGGCCAATTTTTGATTTCAGCCGGATCAACGGTCTCTTCCCACGTCACAGATTTCATCTACGATAGAGGAATAGTGCGATACAATACGCAAACAATCGAAACATCGATGAATGAAAGACTTTTCTTTATTTCAAGTGATAAAAAGATTTTGTCATTTACCGAAAAAAGTGATTCATGGGAATTCGATGATTTACTTCCAATTTCACCGCGAATTGTCTGCGTCGGTGCAGCATTTGAACCATCGAAACTTGTTTTCTTCTGTTTCGCAGACACAGGCGATTTACTAGTTTACGATTACGATGATTACTCTCCTTTAACTCGAATTCTTTTTGATCAGAAGGTTCCTCTTTTCATCTACTACCACTATGGAACAGGAAGCCTCTTAATCATTTATCATAATGAAGTCGTTTTCATGGATACTAAAACGTTCCAAATCACGCGTAGGATCAAACTCAACAAAAAGCCGATTTCAGCTGGTTTCGATGGCGACGTTGTTATTCTTGCATTTGGAGACTGTTCAGTGGCAGTTTACGAAATTGGAGAGAAGGGATGGTTAGAAATAGCCAGTTTCGTTTGCACAGATAAAATCAAGTTTGTCAACATAGAAAATCATGTTTTCATCGCAGTGACAATATCGAACACGATTTACTTCGGACAAACAAGCGAGGACATAACAACAATAGAGGTACCATACGATGTCTACACATGCTCTCTTCTTAATCCAAACATCGACCTTTTAATAGGCTTGGACAACGAACTTATGGCAATTAAGCGAGATGACAACTATCCATGGATGAAGCCTTTGCTGAAATGCAAATGTGATACAGATGATCCACTTTTGGAGCAATTTGTGATTTTGCCATCCCATGATGCAGATGACAAATTCGTCAAAAATCCTACGATTATCAACGGAATTGTTCCTAAGAGGAGTCAATCTCCACCAAGTTCTCCTAAACCAAAGAATCAAATGCAGAATAACAACAGATCTCAGAGCGTCAAAGAATTGCCTCAACTCGATAGATGGACAATTCTCAAGGAGATGGAGAGAATCACTGACGATGCACAAGTTCCATTTGTGCCTTTGGAAAGAAAGGGAAATATTGAATTTACTGTTCCAAGGCATGTTAACAAACCGAAGCAACCAATCCGAAGCTCATCTGAGAGGCAGAATGTAAAGAGTTTGATTGAAGAAGAGGAAGAGAAAAAGAAAGAAGAAGAAAATCATAACAAAGTTAATGTCAACAATTTGCTCCACAAATATCAGAAGGAAATCGAAAAAGAGCAAGAAAGGCAAGCTAGAAAATCCAGAAGAGCAGAAGAAAAGAAGAAACGAATGGAAGAAGAAAGAAAACGTCAACTTGAAGAAGAAGAGGAAGATCCTCAAGAAAACAAAAATCAAAACGAAGAAGAGGAAGAGAAACAATCCGAACAAGAATTAAGATCAAAAGAAGAAGAGCTTGAAGTCAAGGAAAATGAAGAAGAAGAGTTACAGAATGAAAATCCAGAACAAAATGAAGAGATCATTCAAATGAATAAATTAGAAAAACCAGTTAATATCACAGGTTTTGAAATTTTATCAAAGGATAATTTGAAGACATCAAATAATGGAATATACAAAATCGAGAATAGAAAGTCAACAAATCTTGATATGGCTAGATTATCTAATGAGTTCATCAGCAAAGCAAAAAATCCTCTTTCTCAGTCCTTGAGACAAGACGAGGGCTTCTCGATGAGAGTTTCTCACATCAAAATTTCGAGTGGAAGTCAAACACCAAAGAAGAAAACATTCTCACAAAGTATTTCTTCAATGAACATTTTCGGAAAACAAATGCTACTACAAGTTGTTGCAGAATTACCAAAAATAAACAAATCAGGCGTATTTCATTCAAGAGTTGAATCTGAGAGCGACTCTGATACAGAAGAGCAGGTTGTGGAGCAGCTAACGAAAAGCGGCCCAATCTTTAACTTATCACCAAGAAAAGTCGCTAACGAACACAAGAAAGAAGAGGAAGAAGAGACTCAAGAATCTAATGGCGAAGAAGATGATGTATCAACAAAAGATTTAACAAACGCATTAAAGGAGAAAGAACAAATTGTTAAAGATGCTATCTTCGCCACCCCAACAAAGAAGACACCCACAAAAAGAGTGCAAATCATTGAAGGCAGCAAAGAAATCGATACTTTGGAAGAATTAAATGCAGAAACACCGATCAAAAGCAGGAAACCAATGTCATTGCATGTCGAAACTGGCTTTTCACAAAGTAATGAAGACGATGGTGAAGAATTCGAAGAACTTAAAGATTCTGGATTTATTCCCCCATCTTTTGATGACACAGATAAACCTCAAAGCGTAAATTCACCAAGAAACTTTAATGTTCATCCACCAGTATTTTCTCCACGCCGTTCTCGATCCCCTCAGTTAGAGCAGCCTCCACTTGTAAAGCCAAAAGAAGAAATCACCACTACAACTCGATCAAGAAATCCAAGATTTTCAAGGAGAGATCAGAAATCAAGCAACGGAGCAGAATCTTCTCGAGATAAATACACAGGCAATCTTTTCACAGGAAGAGTTGGGTATGGCCCAACAGGAAAACCTTTAGGTGACATAGAAATGGCGCTAATAGTTCAGCCACTTCCAAAGAAATATGCAAATCCTTTTGCAAGGAAATATAATAAAAATTAAAAAATTGTTTGTTTTTTTTTATACATTATTAATTTCAATACGAATAAGTTGCTGTTGTTGAAGTTCCTCAAGCGTTGTAGGCTCTTTTTCTTCAACGAGTCTTCTTAATTCACTATTCATTGTTTGCTCAATTATTTCCTCAAACAAATCCTTCTCCAGGTGCAGAATCGAACCTCTTAACAGTCCAATATCAGTATCTCCGAAATTATCGACATAAATACTTCCATGGTCATATTTTGTTATGAATTGATGGTCGACTACATCAACACCTGAAGCATTAGATCCTGTGATGTGGAGAAAAGGTGTCGCAGCTCCATGGTTGCAATTCATGATATGATCTCTGAGGAATTCTAGTCCTTTGACTTGCTTGGCAAGAGATGATCCAATAGGAATCGAATAGACAAATTTACCACATAGTAAACACTGTGAAACAGAAATATCTGTACGGCATAAATTCTTTGTGAAACCTTTGTCATTCTGAGTGAAATAATCGGTGAAATTAGAAGGAAGGAAGCTGGAATTAAACTTCTTACAAGGGGAAGGAACAGAAGCAACAAGTAAATCATCATTTTTAGAAACATTTTCAACTTTAGGTAACTTGTGCAATTCAATAAACTCTTCTACACTTTTTGGCATCGTGAATTTGTTATTTTCGTCAATTAGATTATACAACAGATGGCATCTTCTGATATATGTCATAAGATAATCACTTCCACCTGCTTCGAGACTGTTTGTAACAAATTTTGGCCAAAATTCTTTCAGGATATTTTCATAATCTTCAACTTTCATGGAGAATAATTTCATTCCGAACTGAATAAAAACATCAGAATATATTATTTCTTCATCCTTCGAATGGAAACAAATCCTGAGTAAATTAGAAAACATTAATCTTATTGTTTGCTTCTTTTCTAAATAGTTTTCATTTGTTCTCAATAAGATTTCGAACAAGCAAATATTCTGTAATACATTTTGCCTCAATGTAATATCATCGGGTAGTTGCAGCTCTGTCTCAAACTTCAGAACTCTTTCCGTTTGATCCTCTTCAGAATTAATAATTGGGATTTTTGAGTTGCAAATTGATCTGTCCAGAGGACATGTTGGTGGTTTTGGTTTTGCTGCGTACATTCTTAAAATCAATGGTACATCGTCTATTTCACTCTTTGGATAGCAGATTTCGTGGCAGAAATGACCACATGTTCTAAAAATCATAAATTCAGGGAATCGAGGAAGTGAATAGCCAGAGATATTGTTCTCCAAAACAGTTAATAGATTAGAGTTATATGCTGTTACTAAAAGACATTTTGGTTCAAAATTCCTGATTGCCATGCCACAAAATGCACATTTAACTTCGTTCTGTTCCTCTTCCTCATCTGAATCTTCCCCATCAAACAAGTTCTCTGTTTGAAACTGCTTCATTATATCTTTTATAGAAACACCTTTTGTTTCTTCACTTTTTTCTGTCTTTACATTTTTGATGTCTGCAAAAATCGGGTTTTCTTTCAAGAAATTCTCAAAAAGATCTTGTCCTGTTGATGTTTTTTCTGGTTCATGCATCAAAGAAATTACCAAATTCTTGTATTTCATTTTATCCTCTGCAAAATGAAGAATGATTCTGAACGACATCAATATTGAGTAGAATAAAACAAAAGATTGCTTTCTGTCATCCTTTGCAATGGAATCTAACAAATACGATAATAAATGATAATAATTATCAGACAAAACCAAATAAGGTTCACAGTTTTGCAAAGGAAGATAACAAAGGTTTTCGTTTTCTTTTGAAATTAAAAGCTGATAGTCAGAAAAAGTGATATAAGGAGAAAACAAAGGAACCTCTTTTTCATTTTTGAGAGAGAGCTCAGAGCCTGTCGGTTTCCTTTGGATATCTGCAACACTTGAAATCACATCATCGTAGTTTTCTGCTTGCATAAACATGTAACTCTTGTTGTTAATCTCTTTCCTGTTTTTACAGCCACTCTTGAGAAAACATTTCAATATTGCTTTCTGCCATTCGGCTTTTGATAACTCAAACATCGACCAATCTCTGTAGAAAGACAATATTAATATAATTCTAATTAAGCTTGCCATTAATAATGAAAGTTCTTCGACATATTCGGTCTCATTTAAGAATTTTTGCAAACAGAAGGATTCAGAAATTTGACAAATAAATTTATCTGTTAGATATTTGTTTTCCTTGGAAATTAAAGAACATAACAGTAAATCCGTCCATATAACATTCGAGTTTTGTATTAAAGAAGAGATAATGGATATGTTATTAACATTCTTCTGGAATAATTTACAAAAAACAGCAAAAATTCCAGCTGTGCAGCCACAAATGACAGAGTTGACTTTCAAAATATCAGTTTCGGAAAAATGGGCGTTCTCTAAAACATAATATGGTGAAACATTGTTTTTCTTTGAGTAGCGCATGATACATTGACAAAACAAATCATAGACAGGATAGAAAAACGAGAATTGTTCATGGTAAATATCTTTAAAGAATGTTTCACAGTCAAACATTGTGCTTTTAGTTTCAATTTGATCAATGAAAGCTTTTTTGAATTCGCCTAAAATCAAAGATACTGAATCCTTTGCCTTTTCCAAATCTTCTTTTGATGTGAGTTTGTTATAAATTTCAGAAAATCTTTGTGAGATAAACGTGAACATCTCACTCCCTGTTTCGTGGAAGTGGAAACTGAGTGTATAATAGTCGTTATCAAATGGTTCTTTCTCATTATATTGCCTGACAATTGATGGCACGCCATTGAGTTGTGAGAAAATAGAGATGATCTTATCTATTGTTACAGTAGGATCATTCATGAATTTGTATTGAATAAATTTATGATTCTTGAGAACTTGAAGTGTGATTTCATAGAAATGGCCAATTGTATCGAAATCGTCCAAGCTTCTGAAATGAACAATAGGTTCATGAACCAAGCAATATCCAATTGATTTAGCATAGCAGTCATAGAGAATCTCAAAGAATTCTGGAATCTGATAGAAATTATCGGGTTCGCTCATGCACTGTGTACTAAATGACAAAACATCCAAACTCTCTTTCAAAAAGTTTGGTTGATCTGTGAAAAATTTAAGTGATCTCTTGAGCAGATCTGGAGTCATCCTTTGATATCCTTCTTTGAATGGCATAGAAGTTACAATAGTGTTAAAGAAATGATCAAGTTTTTCTGTGTTTTGAGGAGGAAAAACTGAATAAGAATTCATCAACTTACCAAAAATGGAATTTTCGAAATCTCCTTCAAAAAGTAGCTGAGATACAATGTCCATATATTCGACTCCCCAAAGACTTAGATCTTCTATCAATTTGATAATTTTTCTGAATCGATTTTCGCCGCAAATGTCAATACTATATAATAAAAGAGATTTAACGATTTTCGAAATTTCGGAAACTCTTTCTGGAGTTAATCTCTGATCATTCATATAATTATGATGTTTATCGCACCAACCTTCTTCTCTAATTGCATTTGGATTGCCGCAATCACATACAGCTTGTGTGCTTCTGAGAATTGAAACGTGATGACCAATGTGTTTCTCATGCTGGAAACATTTGAGGCAGAAAATATCTACAGGAAGAAGGCAACATTCTTTGCATGTCACAAATATGTTAGTGTCATTGTTGTTAACAAGACATCTATTAAATGAGGCTTTCTCTTTCATCTCACCATTATATTTATCAAAATCATCACTATTGTTGGAAAGTATCCGTTTGGCTTTTTTCATGCCCTGAACATAGTTGGTAGATATTAATTCTAAAAAATCGTCCATTAAAAAAATTTAAAAAGTGACAAAAATTATGCCTTTTACGTTGTTTTTTTAAATGAAGAATCAATGATAATAGAGAGATTATCTGTATTATTAACTTCATATTAATTTTATGAATTTTATTAGTTCAAATTATTTCAATCGAAAAATTATCGATAAGCCTATATATTAACTTTATTTTTGAGATAAGATAGGTCCATACATAGTGTTTCAATCATTTAAACAGCTATGAGCAGACCGCAAAAAATTGAGGTTTTTTGAAATACGTGTTACATGAAAAAATACATAATATCCTGTAATAAACAGAAATTCATCAAAAGTGACAGCTCTCAATTTTTTGACATTTGTAAATTCTAAATTGAATGAGAAAAATGAAATAATACTAAGCATAATACAATATTCTAGATTTAATTATAATTAGGAAAAAGTTAGTTTTGAGAGTACTTTTCATAGGCATATAGAATGAAATCTTCTGAAAAATAATATCACATAAACTCATATTATTTTCTAATATATAACTATTTTATATAAAAATCAAATTCAATGATCTTAAAAGCGAAGGATAAACCTCAAAATTTACGAATATAATGAGTGGGAATATAATGCTTATCTATCATAAAACCATATGAAATATCAATTTTTGCTTTACGCCTAATTTTTGACGACAATTAGCAAAAAATGTTAAATGTTAACACTCAGTCCATTTGAATATGAAAAATAAAATTGACTTTGATTAAATGTTTTTATTTATCATGCAATTCTTCTTGCGACCAAAGATTTGAATAAAAGTTCAAAAAATAAGATAGCTTAAAAAATAATGTACGGTAGTGTTTACTAATAGATGAATAGTATATAAATTCTATTAAAATGGATTTGATCCAAAAAAATATATAAAATTTGATCATAAATAAAATCGTTTTAAATTACTTCTTCATTTAAATTATAACAATTATTTTTGGTTTTATATTTTTTTGGATCAAATCCATTTTAATAGAATTTATATACTATTCATCTATTAGTAAACACTACCGTAGCTATCTTATTTTTTAAGCTATCTTATTTTTTGAACTTTTATTCAAATCTTTGGTCGCAAGAAGAATTGCATGATAAATAAAAACATTTAATCAAAGTCAATTTTATTTTTCATATTCAAATGGACTGAGTGTTAACATTTAACATTTTTTGCTAATTGTCGTCAAAAATTAGGCGTAAAGCAAAAATTGATATTTCATATGGTTTTATGATAGATAAGCATTATATTCCCACTCATTATATTCGTAAATTTGAGGTTTATCCTTCGCTTTTAAGATCATTGAATTTGATTTTTATATAAAATAGTTATATATTAGAAAATAATATGAGTTTATGTGATATTATTTTTCAGAAGATTTTGTGTTCTTCTTCAAAATTTTATTTTTTTATTAAAAAGAATCTTTACAAAATATACATTTACTTTAATTAATATTTAAAAACGTGCTCTATCAAAAGTTCCAAAAATTCAATATTTTAGCTTTTCTGAGGTGTCACTTTTGATGAATTTCTGTTTACAACAATCCAAGATTCTATTCAAAGATATATAACATTTTCATCGATGGGGACAATACGATTAGCGATAAAAAACTGCGTAGTAAAATCATTCATTGAAAAATTTCATTGAAAAATCTTTATAATTCAATTTTTTGATAAGTAAAAGTGACACAGAAGGAGTTATCTGAAATAATGAGTTCTCACACTCTGGATATTAAAACTGGAGGATTACCAACAGATGCCTGCAAGCAGATTGCAACAAATGTAAATAATGAAGATAATGTAACCAATAATGCTAATAGCAATATCCAAAATGAAAGCGATTCATCAAACAATAACAAATTGGAAGAAAGCAAAGCAACAAATCAAATAAGCAAAGAATGTATCCAGAAGACGGACGCTACAGCTCAAGGAATGCTCAATAACGTCGATGAGCTCGAAACAACATTTAAGATTGGAGAATGCAAGTTTGACTTAAGCGCAGATAAAAATTGCTCATTGACGTATGAAGAAAAAATCAAGATTAAAATTATTCTGGAAAAATTATTTGCAATAAAAGCAGAGCCAGTAGGTACCCGCTCTGCGCTTACAAAAGAAGATATATATTTCCTGTGCGAAAAGGTAACTGTAGAGCTTGCAAAGCAGCCATCCTTAATTCAAATACCCGCCCCGATCACGGTTGTTGGTGATATACATGGTCAATACCATGATCTTTTACGCATTTTTGATCAGACAGGATACCCACCTACAAAAGATTTTCTTTTCCTAGGTGATTATGTTGATAGAGGAGAGCAAAGCATTGAAACAATATCTCTTCTTTACTGTTTCAAGACTCTTTACCCTACAAAATTGTACTTATTACGAGGAAACCATGAATGTCTATATATTAATAGAGTTTATGGATTTTTCGATGAATGCTTAATGCACTATTCAATTGAAATCTACAAGAAATTCTGTGATACGTTCAAATACTTACCTTTTGCCGCCATTTTAGACCAAAAGATTTTCTGTGTTCATGGTGGACTTTCTCCCGATCTTGAGTCATTGGATGATATTAAGAGTATTACCAGACCAATCGAAGCTCCAGAAGAAGGACTTTTATGCGACTTATTGTGGGCTGATCCAGAACCAGGCATTGATGACTGGACAGTCAATCAACGAGGAACCTCTGTCTGTTTTGGCCTTAAACAAGTCGATGAGTTCCTTAAGAAGTTCAATTTTGAGCTTATCATCAGAGCTCATCAAGCTGTAATTGATGGATTTGAGTTCCCATTCCCAAACAGTCAGGGTATCATTACAATATTTAGTGCGCCGAACTACTGCAACGAATATGACAACAACGCTGCAATATTAAATATTGATGAGACGCTTTATTGCAGTTTAGACATATTTGAGGCAGAAGTTCAAGTTGTGAATGACAGACTTCCTCGTGAAAGATGCGGAACTCCACCAAGAGGAACTCTTATGTAAATATATTCTGTCATTCGTATATTTTATATATATATTTATTTGTAGCTTTGTTATTGCAAAGCACAGTAAAACGCGTACTTTCTTATTTAAAACGAGTTCATAAATTTTTATTTACGAATAACAAACAAAGCGGGATTAAAAGTATCAATAATAATGAGTATATTTGTATGAAATAAAGCAATTGATTGCTGTCATTGCAACAACAGTCATGTGAAGGAAAACGCAAAGTGGCAAGCGTCGGATCAGCAAGAGAATGCCAAATATGACACTTAAGGATCCTGATATATAAAGAAGACTGTACTTTATGAACAATGAGTTATATATGTCTCTAAGGAAATTTGTTAGATGATGAACGTGTGTAAGGAAATCATCCATTGCTATTGGGTTCATATCATCTATAATGCCTTTTTCATTCTGATAAAATAATAATGACTTTAAGCTGGATGGGAAAAGTGTAAAAATGAAATGTAATCCATGGAAAGCGATTAAATAAAGTATTGATGTAAAGAATTCATTATGTAGGAAGTGAATAGATAAAACTAAGTGAACTGTAAGAATAGCTAAGAACAAAGCAATCCCTTTGAATGAATTTACATGGAATGTACATAAGAATTTTGCTACATAGACTCGGTTCTTTTCAAGGAAGAGTTGCTCCCAGTTTTTAGTTATGTGCTCGCTATTCATGTATCAAGATTTTGAAAATAATGAAAAAATTTTCAGATTATTTTTTTAAATTTTTTTTTCAAAAGAATTATCTAATTACCGAGCATCTATAAATAATTGTGAAATTATTTTGATGATTAGAACGATAAATCCTTCAGAATTTAGACTTATCGTTAAAAAAATCCCTCTCAAAAAATTTAAGCTTGGAAGTTTTTGAATTGAAATACTATATTTATATATTTTGTACAAGAATTTTAATTTAAAAAATTTGACGAATTTTAATCGGAGATGAATTTGATTTACTTTGATATAGACCATGAACCAATCAATATTGTCCTCAAAAAACGATTGGCAAACGTTTGATGAAAATTTGAAGTCTAATTCATATTTTTGAGAACAAATCGTATATATTTCCACTTATATTTAGTTCAATGAACAAATGGTCAATAGGCAGCAATAAAATATGGATTAATTTCGAATTGTAAAATATTTAATAAAGCAATGCAAATATCAGGCCAACAAATAGCTTAACTGCATGTGTCATGCAGAATTTCTTATGTGCATATTTATATTTTCAGATATATAAATTTTCAGAATATTTATATTATCATTACATGCTGAATCTAGCTGTACAGGTCCTATCTAGTCTAACTCTAAATATCATCCACTTTAGAAGTATAGAAAGTATAGCTATTTAATATGGGAGTATCGAAAGAATTCTGACATGGCAAAAAAGGCAGATTTCAATTTTAATGATTTCTATCTTCCTTTTTCTAGCATCTGCTATAAATCATGTTAATATGGTGGATGATAGAGATTTAAGAAAGTCCAAAAAACAAAATGATGTTACTGTTGTCCTCTTTGTTCATGAAGATGAGGAATATTTTTGGCAATACTGTGAAGTATTCTCTCATGCCGTTGAAACAGGTGCTAATGCTAAATTTGTAATAGCAACAGATCAAATTGCTCCAAAATACTACGATAGATATCATATTAACGAACCACGAATAATGATTTTTGTAAATAGCTCTGTTATGTTCACTTCTCTAGCTCCATTAGTTGCAGATGATTTTATAAATCTATTGTCTGCAGCATTACTTCAAGAAATTACAACTGTTGAAACTGAAATCGATTTTCATAAGCATTTCAACAATTTCAACAATACAATCATTTACACAAGCGAAAATTCTGATAAAGCATATGAATTATATTTATCTGAGTCCACGCAATACGGAATTCTTGCACTTTGCGAAGTTCCAAAATCATTTTTCGAAACTCTCCACTTTGATCCAAAGCAATTCATTGTTTACCACAAAAATGAGAACAACTTCCTACAATTCGACGGATCTGCTATCGAATTTCGTAGAGTTTCTTCAGATTTAGTAAATTACGAAATTGATCGCAACACAATGATTCTAGGCAACAGATTAATTGTCACTGCGATCTACGATGGGGATTCCAGACCAGATATTCCATTCCTTTCCATTGCTAAGAGAGAAAACTCTCCACTTTATGGATATCTTTCAAAAGATTCTCTTTCCTTGGTTGAAAATCTCCTTGAACACGTTGAAACACCCAAGCCATTTATCACCATCCTAAACTACACCGGATTCTACATCACGGAGCCTCTCACAGATCTCTCTGAAGCAGGAATCGAAAACTACATCAAAAACGAAAAGATTCCAAAAATCTACGCTTCGGAAGAAGCCACGAAAGAGGATTTGTTTAAACTTGTCGGCACCAACTACGAGGAGAAGATCAGAGACGACAAGAAGAACACATTAGTTTTCTACACGAATTCGAAGACACTCAACATTTCTCTTCCGAAAATTGAGAAATTCATAAATTATACCAAGGAGAATAAGATTGATTTGCGAGTTTTCTACATCAATTACGACAAGAACAGCCGCCCCTATGGCTTCCCAGAGCTCGTCGGCATCCCGCACATTGAGTTCTTCCCTTCAAAGAACCACAGAAACTCAGTCCCTGTTGTTTCCTCCTGCTCTGTCTACTCTCTGATGAAGTTCCTCGAGAAGTACATGAAAGTGAAGGCTCCAGTGGAATTGATGGACCCAGAGGAGGAGAGGGAGTTCATCATAGCAGTGCTTCTTTTGATGAAAGTCGAAGAGAAGAGTAAGCCAAAGGAACTGTTCGAGAAGTACGTCACTGAAATTGGAAAGTTGGCAAATCTAGGAAAGAATTTCGAAGAAATTGCAAATAATGTTCTTCAGGACACAATCGGAGAGTTGGAGAATCCACTGAAGGCAAAACCCGTGAAGAGTGAAGACGAGGAATTTGATGACTACTTCTATTACGATGAGGAAGATGTTCCTGAAATCAAACCAAAGTCAAAAATTACAAATGAGGAATTATAATAAAAATTAAGAGTTTTTAGTTATATAATCAAAACAGAAAAATATTTCGCAAATATAACATATCTTTTATAAATAAATATATAAAATATAAAAATCATAAATATACAAATATAATTATTCATCACTAGTAGATTCAATATCATATTCGTAGTCATATCCTCCTTGGCTGTTTCGTCTTTTGCTAAGAATTGGAGCAGAATTCTGATGCTCTCCTCCTTTCGTTACTGATTTTGAGCGCCCAATTTCATTTCCATTTTCATCTTGTTCAATGATGGTTGTGACGTGTTCTATTTCGACTTCCTGCTCTTCTTCATCTCCGTCTTCTTCTTCGTAGACATAGATGACTTTTGGTTTCTTTGGTTTCTTCTTTCTGATTTCTTCTCCTTCACTCTCTTCTTCGATGACTTGAATCTCATACATTTCCTCCTCTTCCGACGAGTCACTGTATATGTTCTTCGTTTCATATACGTACTCGTACTCAGGATTGTTAGGGTCTTCGACGACCTTAACCTTTCCATCTAATTTTGCAGTGGAATTACGTACTTTTTTTGTCTTTTTCTCAGTGTCGTCCGGCCGTGATTTTGCCTGAAGGTTTAGATTTAGCTGACCGAGAGGAGGGAGATTTCCAAGGGGAGGAAGATCGCCAAGTGGAGGTAAATCGCTGAGAGGAGGTAATTCGTCATTGACTTTCTTGGATTTCTTTTTGCCTTTCTTCTTCTTTTTTTTAGGTTCGTCTTCGCCGACGTTGACCTTTGGAAGATCAGCAAAGTTAACAGTAGGAAGTGTGCCAAGGCCAGAGCCTACCTGAAGTCCGCCTAGAGGTGGAACACCAAGGTTAGGGAGCCCAGACATTTCAAGATTGGGATTTGATGATGGTGTTGGTAAATTGAGCTGAGGCGATTTTAAGTTTGAGGATGGAAAATTGAGTGGTGGGAGATTTCCGATTGGATTAAGAGTAGATTTATTTCCAATTGGTACATTAGGGAATGATAATGGTGGGAGTGATGAAATAGAGGGTTCTTTAGATTGAAGAGAAATTGAAATAGGAGAAGCTGTATTGGAAATTGTGGGAAGAGAGAAGTTGGGCGTTGATGATGTTAATGATGATTGATTTAATAAAGGTAGGGGCGGAAGATTGCCAAGTTGTGGAAGTGTTGGCATCTCAAGTTGGGCTGTGCCATTGTTGCTGCCAGTAGTCTCGACTTCAAGAGATGGAAGATTGCCAAGTTGTGGAAGTGTTGGCATTTCGATCTCAGCTGTGCCGTTCTTGGAAGATTTGGTTTCGACTTCAAGAGATGGAAGATTGCCAAGTTGTGGAAGTGTTGGCATTTCGATCTCAGCTGTGCCGTTCTTGGAAGATTTGGTTTCGACTTCAAGAGATGGAAGATTGCCAGGTTGTGGAAGTGTTGGCATTTCGATCTCAGCTGTGCCGTTCTTGGAAGATTTGGTTTCGACGTCAAGAGATGGAAGATTGCCAGGTTGTGGAAGTGTTGGCATTTCGATCTCAGCTGTGCCGTTCTTGGAAGATTTGGTTTCGACGTCAAGAGATGGAAGATTGCCAAGTTGTGGAAGTGTTGGCATTTCGATCTCAGCTGTGCCGTTCTTGGAAGATTTGGTTTCGACTTCAAGAGATGGAAGATTGCCAAGTTGTGGAAGTGTTGGCATTTCGATCTCAGCTGTGCCGTTCTTGGAAGATTTGGTTTCGACTTCAAGAGATGGAAGATTGCCAGGTTGTGGAAGTGTTGGCATTTCGATCTCAGCTGTGCCGTTCTTGGAAGATTTGGTTTCGACGTCAAGAGATGGAAGATTGCCAAGTTGTGGAAGTGTTGGCATTTCGATCTCAGCTGTGCCGTTCTTGGAAGATTTGGTTTCGACGTCAAGAGATGGAAGATTGCCAAGTTGTGGAAGTGTTGGCATTTCGATCTCAGCTGTGCCGTTCTTGGAAGATTTGGTTTCGACGTCAAGAGATGGAAGATTGCCAAGTTGTGGAAGTGTTGGCATTTCGATCTCAGCTGTGCCGTTCTTGGAAGATTTGGTTTCGACGTCAAGAGATGGAAGATTGCCAAGTTGTGGAAGTGTTGGCATTTCGATCTCAGCTGTGCCGTTCTTGGAAGATTTGGTTTCGACTTCAAGAGATGGAAGATTGCCAAGTTGTGGAAGTGTTGGCATTTCGATCTCAGCTGTGCCGTTCTTGGAAGATTTGGTTTCGACTTCAAGAGATGGAAGATTGCCAGGTTGTGGAAGTGTTGGCATTTCGATCTCAGCTGTGCCGTTCTTGGAAGATTTTGGTTTCGACGTCAAGAGATGGAAGATTGCCAAGTTGTGGAAGTGTTGGCATTTCGATCTCAGCTGTGCCGTTCTTGGAAGATTTGGTTTCGACGTCAAGAGATGGAAGATTGCCAAGTTGTGGAAGTGTTGGCATTTCGATCTCAGCTGTGCCGTTCTTGGAAGATTTGGTTTCGACGTCAAGAGATGGAAGATTGCCAAGTTGTGGAAGTGTTGGCATTTCGATCTCAGCTGTGCCGTTCTTGGAAGATTTGGTTTCGACGTCAAGAGATGGAAGATTGCCAAGTTGTGGAAGTGTTGGCATTTCGATCTCAGCTGTGCCGTTCTTGGAAGATTTGGTTTCGACGTCAAGAGATGGAAGATTGCCAAGTTGTGGAAGTGTTGGCATTTCGATCTCAGCTGTGCCGTTCTTGGAAGATTTGGTTTCGACTTCAAGAGATGGAAGATTGCCAAGTTGTGGAAGTGTTGGCATTTCGATCTCAGCTGTGCCGTTCTTGGAAGATTTGGTTTCGACGTCAAGAGATGGAAGATTGCCAAGTTGTGGAAGTGTTGGCATTTCGATCTCAGCTGTGCCGTTCTTGGAAGATTTGGTTTCGACTTCAAGAGATGGAAGATTGCCAAGTTGTGCACTTTTTATTTTTTCCTCATCAGAATTCGAGCTCTCTTGCGTGCTTTCTGATTCATCATCACTTGTTGTTTTTTCTTTCATCTTATTAAATTTACCTTTTTCATTATCTAACATGATTGTTGGTAATTCACTCAATTCTACATTTTTAATATTTTCCATTCGTGGTAAATCACCAAGGCTATGTTTCATCAATAATGGCATTCCATCCAAAGGAGGAAGTTCACTAATTTCCGGTATCTTCAGCCCCTTTTCACTGTTTCCAACTTCTATCTGGATCATTGGTAGTTCTGGAGCTTCCTTAATCTTCTTCTTGCTTGTCTCGTATTCAGAGTCTGACGAATCACTTGAACTTGATATTTCTTCTGTTGAAACAAAAACTTCTTCTGAGTCTTTGATTTGTGGTTCTTGAATTGATTCTAATGAAGGCAAATCTGAAACAGCGCTCAGCTCCATAGGTTTGTCAAATGATGATTCTTTTTCACTAGATGGGCCAGTTTCATAATCTTGTATTGTTAATGATGGCATAAGCAAACTCAGTTCTGCGCGTTCGCTACTAGAATCTTCTGAATCGTTTGAAGCGTTGGATGCTTTGTAATGAGCCAGCGATGATGCTCTTGTTTCATCTTGCTTTACTTCCAATGATTTAAATGAATCTTTCACTTCATAATCATTATCTTGGTCATTTTCATGTTCGGAAGATGATGATGAGCTCGATGAATCTGAAGAAGTTCTCTTAATATTTGTCTCAGTAACTTCTTTGACAACATTTATTGTTCCTTTGATAGTAATTTCTTTATCTTCGCTGCTTGGAGGTGGATTGATTTCTTTCATTGCATTTTCTAAGTCATCAATGACCGACAAATCTAATTGTCCATCATCTTCACCTCTAACTTCAACAGCCAAGGATTTGGAAACATCTTCTCTGTTTTCCTCAATGTTCTTGTTGACTGAAATGGATAAATCTGTATTAAACTTTGATAATTGATTTTGATCATTTTCGTTATTTTGGACAATGTCAGAAGATTCAATTGCTGGAATGTCAGGCAAAGGCTGTGATTCTGTCTTTGTTGTGATAGAAATTGTTTGAGACATTGCAGGTAGTGAATCAAACTTATAATGGCTGTCCGAATTGTCTTCGTTGGATCCTATTTTAACATCTCTATCTATTACAGGTGAATTATTAAGATCCAAAGGAGGCAAGTCTCCAAGCTGAGGCAAATTGTTAATCAGAAGAGATCCACCAATTCCAAATTGCGGCGTCGGTAATGGTGGTAGGCTTCCAGTATTCAAATTCAGATCAAGTGGTGGGAGCTCGGATGCCTGAGGTATTTCAAGTGGTGGCAGACTTCCAAATGGAGAGTTTCCTAATGATGGTAAGTCTCCAAGTTCAACTGTTTTCTGTTGGGGTAATTGGTCTTCTTTTGAATTTGCTTCCAAAGGAGGTAGATTTAAGGGTTGAGTAGTTAATTCAAGAGGAGATAAATTTCCAAGCTGTGGCAAATCTCCAAGTTTGTAGTTTTCTTGTTGATTAGCAATCTTAGCATCAATTTCTATTTGAGGAAGATTTCCGAGCTGATAAAACACTTCTGGTTTAGTTTCAGCTTCAAGTGGCGGCAATTTCATGGTTTCTGATTTAATTTCTATGTTGTTGAGTTGAGAATTATCGATTTGTGGCAAATTTCCTAATTGAGGAGACTCGAAACTTGGAGTTCCTTCAGATTTAAATTCTAAAGGTTGTAAATTTCCAAGTGGCATGACAGGAAGATCTCCCAACTGCGGAGTGATATCAAGTGGCTTTTGTTCATTATTAATTAATTCTGGAGATGGGAGTTGTGGCAAATTGCCTAATGAAGGAAGATTTTCTGAGGTTTCTTCAGATAGCTTTTGCTCTCCTTCTATCCTTGGGAGATCGCCCAGCTGTGAGTTAATTTCCAAAGATGGAAGATTTCCGAGTTGCGGCAATTCTCCTAACTGAGGAATATTCATATCTATCGTTTGTTGATTTGAATTTTCCTTTAACTCTGAATAATTTTCTTCAATGGATGGCAGTTCTCCAAGCGCAGGAAGGTCGTTTATTGAAGGAAGA